TGTGTGTGTGTGTGTGCGCGTAATGACCCGCCAAAACACGGACTGAGAACACTGCTGATTTCTGGGATTTGCCCCTAGAATGAATGCCTTGCTGAGATTCCCGCATTCTGCTGTGATTTCTAAGTCTGTGTGTGTGTGCGTGCCTGCTGGTTTGCGTGCCTGTCTGAGTGCTTGTCGGCTGAGTGTGTGTGTGACCCGCAAGGGTACTTGTTGGTTGAAAGGCCCCTAAGGGCCGGTACTTACCTGTGGCCGTGACTTTGAGGGTTGCAGCGGGGAAAACACTCAAGTAGCGGGGGTAGGCCCGCAACACTTAGAGCAGCGGGAAAAACACTCAAGTAGCAGGTAGGCCGGTACCACTCAAGTAGTGGTAGAAGTGTCGGGTACTGGAGGCCGAGCAGAAGAAGACAAAAGTTGGCATTTTTAGAGGCCCAGTAGCGGTAGGTTAGAGGTAGGCCGGTACCAGTCCATGTAGCCTGAGTCTAGGGCCTGTCCGGACGATAGGAGAGCCTGCAATGATGCTTCCCTCCAAAAGGGAGGAGGTACCGGTTGCTGGGAGGCCACTCGGACTAGGAAGTCAACGCCCAAGAGGCCAGTAGGCCGCTATATCTTCAGGAGTGCAGCGGGAAAAACACTCAAGTAGCGGGGGTAGGCCCACAACACTTAGAGCAGCGGGAAAAACACTCAAGTAGCAGGTAGGCCGGCACCACTCAAGTAGTGGTAGAAGTGTCGGGTACTAGAGGCTGAGCAGAAGAATACAAAAGTTGGCATTCTTAGAGGCCCAGTAGCGGTTAGAGGTAGGCCGGTACCAGTCCAAGCAGCCTGAGCCTAGGGCCTGCCCGGACAATAGGAGAGCCTGCAATGATGTTTCCCTCCGAAAGGGAGGAGGTACCGGTTGCTGGGAGGCCGCTCGGCCTAGGAAGTCACTGCCCAAGAGGCCAGTAGGCCACTATATCTTCAGGAGGAGCAAGCAGCTCCTCCTCATTTGCAGTATGCAAGGATTGGCGACATGCTGCTGGAGCCAAGCGCTGGACATGGGAAGCGCTACCTGGAGGAGAAGAGCAGCTGGGCGCTCAGCCTGGCTATGGCGAGCAGCCCAGCCTGAGGAGGAGAGAGAAGGGGTCGAAGGAGGAGAGTGGCGAGGTACCTACCTGGCTATGGTGGATACCATCTTCATCACCTTGTTGGGCGCTGCATCTGGAAGGCCCCAGTTGGGGTAGTGCCACACCAAGGAATCTCGAGGCCAAGTCAGGCATGGCGGCTTAGTGCGCAGCGGCATAGCTGCGTTGGGTTGTCCTTTGGACAGAAGTGCAGCGACATAGCTGCTTTGCATTGTCCTTTGCACAGGAGGGCAGAGCCCTCAGTAGTCCACCATAGGCTAGGCATGTGAGAGGAAGAAGAAAGGGGGAAGCCATAACTTTGGTGGACCTATTGTTGTGTCAGCAGTAAGAAGGAACTTCGGATATTGATTCTGGTTCATCCACTCATTGCTATTATTATTATTGGAAGAAGAATAAGATTGGCGAAGTGAAGGAGGAGGAGGAAGGTGGAGAGAGAAGGGGGATTTGTCATTGGTCTTGCTGGTGTACATCTTCTTCTTCTTCTTCTTCTTCTTCTTCTTCTTCTTCTTTCTCTATCTCCTTGCAAGTGCTTTCATTTCTTTCGCAATTGGGTGGCATTGTCTTTCATTGTGAATTTGCACTTTGGGAATGACCAGGATCGTAACATCTCTCTCTCTCTCTCTCTCTCTCTCTCTCTCTCTCTCTCTCTCTCTCTCTCTCTCTNTCTCTCTCTCTCTCTGTGCGTGTGTGCGTGCGTGCGTGTGTGTGTGCGTGTGTGTGTGTGTTATATAAAATATCACCACAACTTCCCCTATCCCACCCAGATGAGTAGATCCAAAGTCATAGCAACTTTACCTGTATTGCAGACAATGAAGCATTCTCAAGATGAGCCAATCCACCGATGAAACAGTTTTGCTTGCGGAGTCAATATCTATTCACAACCTTAGCTTTAAACAAGCAAGGAATCTCACCTTTACACAAGCAATGCAACACACTTGAGATGGGCCAACCCAACAGTAAAAACAATACGAGACACAATAAATTCGTTATATCGTTTTCTTGATTATAATATATTCCATCAGCTAGCATTGGGAGGCCTCCTGTTTTCTTTGTTTTTGCAGTTAGTGATGTTTAGAAGCTTGACTGTTGGAGCAGGAAAACTGTCAAGGGGCGAGAATTCATTTGGCGCTATTTTTTAGGTTCCGATCCCTCGGGTGAGGGAAAGGTGTTTATGGGACCGGGGTGTGGAGTTTGTGGGTATACTTTTGGGGGGGTGATGAGTAAACGTGATGCGTGAGGGAGGTCGTGTGAGGCAAATGCGGAGATTGTTGAGAGAACTGTATAGGGTGGGTGTTGGGTGTTTGTTATGGGATTTTCTGTTGGGAACGGTGGTGTTACAGGAAGATTGGGAATGTTGTTGTTACATGAGGATGGGAGGATTAATCAGCTCTTAAAGGTTAGAGTATCATTCTTTACTGTGCCTAGGTGACGTGATCCTAACGTAAAGGTTGTGAATTTTTGGATTATTTCTGCTTTTTTGTCAGGGGCTCTGTGTATTTGTTTTCATTTTTTTTTCCAATGTGCATGTAGTTCTGTTTCTATTATGTGCTTTATTGTGATGATTACATTCTCGGGGTTGGTGGGGTGGTCTTCAAAGGTTTTGTCCCATCTTCTTTTCCATAATCCCCAAAGATAAGGGAGAAGAAGAATGCTTCAAACCCTTTAAGGGGTGGGTTTTGTTCCATTTCAAGGAATAAAGTGTCGGGGCTTATCGTGATAGGCTTGTTAGAGAGGGTGCTCCAAGTGAGCTCTATTTCTTGCCATAGTTTCCTGGCCCCTGGACAGTCAATGAAGCAGTGGTTTAGTGTTTCTGGAGTCTGTAGGTTGCAGACTTTGCACCACAAGTCTTGATCTGTTCTGTTTTCCTTACTGTGCCTTTGCGCCAGCCAGTGATTCACTGGTACTGCCCTGAAGGCTATCAGCCATTTTAGACTGGCTAGTTTCACAGGTCTAGAGCTGAAAATTGTTGGTCAAGGTATGGTTATTTGAGATCCGGCAAGTGTGCTCTCTTCTTCTGTCCATCTTGTTTGTAGGGTGTTTGTTATTGAGGACGGTTTTGAGAAGAGATGGTAGCCTAGTTCGGGCTTGTAATCGGTTAGTTTGTGGAGACGAGGCATGGGGGAGAGATGATTGGGGGTACTCCGAGACAATTCTGTTGGGTCTATTTCCAGTTCAAGTATACTTGACTGAGGCTTATAGACCCTGTTTCTTTCCCCTTCAACGACCCTTGTTCTTTGTAGGGTGTTTGTTATGCATCATGCTTCTGCTCTGCTCACTTTGTTAAGGAAGCTTACTGGGTTACCTGGCTCGTTGAGGGTAAAGATATCGCAGCAGATCCATGTTTTGTTGTGGGTTTCATAGGATTTGAATCTCAGGACTTCCAATACCGTCTCCTACTTCGTTGTTACGGCCCAGTCGCCATATTGCAATTTATGATCTGATCTTAGTAGGCGCCTCCATTCTATGGGAATGCTCTAATGATCTGATTAATGCTCGCTTGTAGATGATGGGTACCTTTCCATACATGCCTTAGATCCTTTTCTGATTTCCATGAGTTGGCTGCATGCTCCCAAAGATGTTGGATTTGCCATATTCCTCTTTCTACCCAATGTCCCCATTTGGTCTCTGATTTGGAGAGAGGGAAGCTTTCTCCCTTCTCATTTTTGATCCAGGGATTTCCAAAGAGGGGTTGTCTGAGTATTTCGCCCCTTTTTTTTGGGCCCTATCCTGTTCTTTGGGAATATGTTTCTCCAAATGCGTAGGATCTGTGCCCAGAGGGACTTTGAGGACTCGTTCTCGTGTATGTCATCCTGTGATGACTGGGGGTCTGGGGAGTGGCCAACGTTTATTGAATATCTATTCCTGATTTGGCTTTGCAAGTCGTCGGATGGGAACCATAGGGAGGTAGCATACCAATCATGGCTAGAATTGAGTTATTCAAGGCTAGTAGGACTTTACCTAACAAAGAAGTGTGCACACCTTTCGACATATGCATTTTGTTAATCATGGACGACAGTAGTGAGGCGGCCGATGGGTTACGAGTCTTATGACACCCTTTTGCATTTAAGTTGATTCCTAGAAAGCGGAACGGGGCGGATAGGTCTGCCCAACACATCCCCTCTGGAGTTAGTTCTATGGGAGGGTGGACTTCCGAGAACCACCAACCAATTGTTTTTGTCCAGTTCACTTTCATTTCGGATGCCAATTGGAAGGCTTGCACTGCTCTTGTTAACACTTGGAATGAAGAATTGGATGCCCTGATCAAAACTGTGAGGTCACCCACAAATAAGAGGGTGATAGGCATATGTAGGGGCTGCCCTCTTTCGCCCTTGATGTTTGCTAGTCTCTCTATTGAGGGGTATTTTCTCAGGAAGGCTGCAATGGCTTCCATTACGAATATGAAAATGTCTGACCGATCTTGACATTTTGTAAGGGTTGGAGAGGAAGCCGTTGATCTGTACTATTCCCTGTGCATCGTCGTATAGTACCTTTACCTATTTCCTGAAGACCAGGCCGACACCCATTTTTTCCATAGAGGCTTGGAGGAAGTCCCAGTTGACTTAATTATAGGCTTTCTCAAAATCGAAAAAAAAGTTGTAATCTTCTTTTCATTTATTATTCTGGTTGACTCGCTGAGGGTCATGACAGTATCTAAGATTAGTCTGCCTAGGATAAATCATGTTTGGTCAAGGTGAAAGCAGCCTCCTGTGCTTCGGTTTATTCGGGAGGCCAGGAGTTTGGCTAGGACGTTTAGGAAGGAAATGGGTCTATAATTTCTTATATCTTCTTTGCTACCTTTTTTGTAGAGGAGGGTCACAACTCCCGTACTTAGCGCTGGTCCTTGAGATTCTTCTTCCCAGGCTCCGTTGAGGAAGGCTAGGAGGAGGGGACCTAGTTTGTGCCAGCTCGCCATCTAAAAAAAATTAGAAAGGTCGTCTCTGCCTGGTGCCTTGTTAGATTTTAGTTCCTTGAAGCTTGAGTATAGTTCTTACATTGTGATAGGTTCTTATCGTGTGCCTGTTGTTTCGTTTGATAATGCGCGTTCTAGGTGGGTGAGGAATTTAGCCCTGGCGCTTAAAGCACCAGTACACGGCCCCGGCCTTGCAGTCTGAAACTTGGCGCCACAAGAAAACGAGGCCGAAACGTCAAACGCTGGGTCCGCCGTTGATAAATTTGATCGGCGGCCCCGTTTTCGTTTCATGCCTCCAGAATTTGAGGTGTCAGACCTGCGGCCCAGATGCCCATGTACTGGTGGTTTAATATTTCTTTTCGCCTTCCTATTGGGGTTTTGCTAGTGTAAAGATCGCTGTAGAAATTGGTTGCTATGTTGACTAACTAGGTTGTTTCTGAGGTGGGGATGCTTTGTTCGTTTAGTAAACTTTCTATCTTCCTAGAGGTATATTTGATTTTTTGGAAGAAGAATTTGCTCATTTCTTCGTTTAGTTCTCGGTCGTTCACTTTTACCGTGAGTTGTAGTCTCCTAAGCTTTAACTTTGTCCATTATGTTAGTTCTTCCTTAGCTTTGGAGCATAATTCTACATAAAACTCTGATTAGTATCTCTATGGAGATTTCATTCAGCTATTTTGCATTTCCTAATGTTTCTGCTCTTTCCTTCCTATGTGTTGCCAGTCTTCTAGAGGTTTGTGACATGTCTATGCTAATATTCTTTAGGATTTCATGTAATTTTTCTCTCTTTTTTTTTCTTTTTTTTTTTCGGTTTTGGTAAGCCTAAGGGAGAGCATGACTGCTTTGTGGTCAAGACCTTTGTAGTGGGGGGTTTCTTTTATTTTGCAGTCTAGTATGGCTCCTAATAGGAAGTCTCAAGTGAGGAAGAAGTTTATTCTTGACAGAGAGGTTCTTCCGAGGGAGGTTTTTCTGACACAAGAAAAACGTTTTGTGTTAGGAGATATGAGACGATATGGGTCTATTAGATGAAGTCTCCTAGGACTATGCTGTTGGGTTGTGGCAAGGGGTCCTGTGAATTAAGATTCTATCTAAGGTGGGGTCCTGTACCGAGTTTCAATCTTCCATAATGATGGTGTGAATGTGAGTGGGAATTTGGTGAGGAAGGTGTTTTTTTCCTGTGGCCTGTTCGGACCGTATATACCCAGTATCGATATATCTTCTCCCTTGAGTTTGATATCAATCTTTCCTTCCAATATCTTGCTCAGTCAATCCAATGATTCCCAGGGTAATCAATGCTGGCAAGACCTTCTTAATACGGTTTCTGATGTATTTCAATTCCAAATGTATAAGGGACGCTGGACCCGTTTCCCAGCAGGTGATGCTCCCCACCAATAGACTGGAGCTTCTCCCCAGGTGCTAGTGGTGTCTGCTCTTACCAGCACCACTAACACTGGCGGGGGGGTGTTGAAAAAAAAAAAAAAAAAAAAAATTTTTTTTTTTTTTTTATTTGTTTGTCGTAACGTCCTGGCTTCAAGATTGGATTGTTATGTTTTCACTTGAGGCGGACTTTTTTTTTTTTTTTTTTTTTTTTCCTAAAAAAAAATTTTTTTTTTTTTTTTTTTTTTTTTTTTTGGAAAAAACAGACTATGTATTATTGAATCAACATGATGTTCGAGGCCGGGGACCTCACAATTCAACCCGGAAGGATAAACACAGCGTAACAGCAAATTGATACCAGACCAACCTGGCTGACCAACACAAGCACAAATAAAGGCACTACTTTCCTCTTACTAGCCTACAATCCTACAGAGCAGAGCGACCACTCTCTCAGTTGACCATCACGACTCTAACTCAAGTCTAGGTCATGTGAGTTCTGCAGACAAGGCTTCGACTTAACCATCGAGTGACCAGGTAGGTTACGCCTTTCCTCTGCTACCTTATTCCGACTGCAGCCATTTGGACACTACCAATTTCCCATTCAGGGATACTGCTGCCAAACGGTTATTCTTGGCCCACGTCCGAAGAAACCACAGTCTGGCCTTATCCCGTTTCGAAGCTTCTATGGCGAGGACTTTCCTTCTCCAGTCCACATTTATCATCTGGCGGACGGTGGCCTTCATCCCTGCCTTCAAAGACGTATCCGAAAGATACCTTTTATTAAACAGCACTGAGTTCCTTTCCTTCCAGATCCACCATAACGCCATTGCCCGAATGGCTACTGCCACGTAGCCCCACCCCTTATCATAAGACAGTGTGAGGGGGAGCTGCCCCGTGAGGGCCCAATCCAAGTCCCAGGTGATAGCTGCTGGACCTCCCATTTCTTTCCAATGATAGGCCCACCACTGCCATATGCGTTTCGAGAGTGGGCAGTTGCCCCATAGATGTTCTGAACTTTCCATTCCCCGATGGCATCTGGCACATTGGATGTTAACCTCCATACCCCTCAGGAAGAGCGCCTCGGCATCAAGCGGGGCCCCGTGGACGATCAGCCAGACAATGGCCGAGCATCTAGTGCTGGGTAGCATTCGACAAACGCGCCACATGTTCTGATAATAGGCCACCGACAGAGCTGTGCCTGTGGGAGCTCGCGGGTGTGCCGCCTGGATCTTCACCGTTGAACTGCCCTGACTGCGTTTCAGCTGCATCCCCAGGCGTGAGGAATGCAGTTGAAGTTCTGGCCTTCCCCGGGCATTCGCCCATCCATACATGACAGGTTCCATCCATGTATATGAATGGTTGGGCCTGTGACGCGCAACCTCACGCCCTGTGCTGTCTTCCGTTCGGAGTGTTAGGCAGGCAGAAAGAGGCCCAGAAAAACAGCAAGATGGGGTGTGCCAAGGATTTTTGGAAATTGAGTGTGGGGACACAGATGGAACTGAAGTCCCCCGTGTAGGTCCGATGTAGCAAGTTGATTAATTTCGCGCGTCGCAGAATGCGCGCGCGGTCATAGCGCGAAAACAGAAAGATCCAAATTCAATCCAAAAAGTATTGTCGGGCTTCCCACCGGGCTACGGCCCGTCGTTTAGAACGGAAAGGCTTTCGCACGCTTCGCGTGTCTCGTTTTCGTATCAGATCTCGTCGTCGTTCGCTGGTCAGTTCCGAGTCCGACGTGGATGGTCTCAGTCGAGTGGCTCTTTCCTTATGCTCATCCTCACTTCGTATTCGGTAGTGGAAGCCCTTCGCTTCGTAGCGATCGAAGCGTTGGCACTTCGTGCACAGAGTGCGGGGCCAATGGGGCGCCACTGCCGTCCACGGAATGACGATCGGCTCGTTAAACGGCAACAATATCGAGTAGGGTGGAAAGTGCGTATTGATAATGACAAATCCGGCGTCTACGAACCCCGAACAACGATCGGCCGGAGGGAAGTAACAGTGCCTGCCGATTTGTGCGACGGCTTCTCGTGCGTCCCACTCACATACACGTGTCCTTTCCTCACTGTAGGGAAAAGGTCGCGTTGGGATGGGAGACACGGTAGGCTGGCGCCCAATCGGAGGGTACTTGTCAGTCCACATGTCAATCATTCACAAAATATTCCGAGACGTCATCAAAAGCGATTCGCGCGTCCCCCAATCAATTTTTTTGACATAAGAGAAAGAGAGAGCAAACACAGATCAGCCTGATCATGTAGATGACTAAGGGACCGATCAGCTCAACACAACGTTGGTCCTTGGCGCCTTGTTTTTCGAGGCCGCCTCGTGGCTCGGCTGCTGACGTCGTGCAGCATAAAGCAAATGGCATGTGCAGTACAAACAGAGCTACAGATCTAAACACTCTTGCATTCTCGAACAAAATCCCGACGACAATCGTTTAATCAACAAACGAGTTACACATTTCATACATGCACTCACTGTGGAAGGTGTGAAAATGAGACATGCACAGATGGATCGCATTACTCAGTGCACACGCATCCACCGTTCACAAGACAAGAAGACAGGGTCCTTGCGTAGGAGGATTACCCAGGAAACTAATGGAAGAGTTCCGGAAGAAGTTCTTTCACACAGAGTGCCGACTCATTCTCATTCAAGAGCGGGACAATCATTCAGACGCACCATCATTCAAGACGAGAGAGAGAGAGAGAGAGAGAGAGAGAGAGAGAGAGAGAGAGAGAGTCAAAATAGAAGATGACAAGATCCGAAAAGAGAAAAGTTCGGCGTCGCCGCCTCACACTCATGCCAAGGATAACAATCCGCAACAAAGGCGCATTCGCCGTTAATTCCACTATGGCCCCGGGCCAATCACTCACTCAACTCTAATCATCGAGCTTCATACCCGCACCGACGATCCCGGCCGTCGCGTGCTAACTCCCACCACTGCGATCGTAACCTCGCTGTTGTAAACCCGACACGGTTCACCTAGATCCCACAGTCCGTCGTGGCGATCCAACGCACAACCGGCCAGTCTATCGTCAGCCCGACAGGACTTTCCGACTCGCTTCAAACACTCTGCCTAGCCACTGCTTCCCGGAAGTTGGCTCGAGAGTCGAGAACGTAAGAGAGATTTGTGGACGCGCTTGCGGGCTTTATAGTTGTGACAGGGGAGATAGACGAGGGAGAGGGCAACAGGAAAGTTGAGGTGTAAGAGGAGAAGCAGGAGGAGAAGACTTTGAGAAGAGTGCTCTACGAACGCCATGCTGATCCCTCGAAACTCAAGGTTCAACCAATCAAATTTGTCACGCGATAGGAAGGTCCTATCGATCCACGCACCTGATTGGCGAGCGGGAGTTATCGGGGGATCGACCGGGCGTCGTACGCCAGACTTAGAGGGTGAGAAGAGAAAAGGCGCGAGAGGTGGCGCAAGACGGGTCCAAGATTCAAATGATCAAGAAAGGGAAATGGGCGCGCGAAAGCAAGGCGGGAGAGAGAGAGAGGGAGAAGGAAAATTAGTTACAGGGAGAGAGAAAAAGGAGGGAGAAGGGAAGGGAGGCGCGGGAGAGAGGAGGAAGCTTTTGCATGCACGGCGCCGTCAACAAAAAAAAGGAAAAAGGCACCGAAACAGTTACAACTTGCTTCTATCCTAATTCAAAATTGAAATCACCATATCCGCGCGCGAAAAAGCGACGCGGGAAAAGAAAATCCTACGCCTATTCGTATTCACGCAAAATTCCGAGAGTTTTCCCCGACGCGCCCAAGAACATTCACATACCCAAAAAAAGGACACGTCGAAGTTCCACTTATCCCGGAATTCCCAACTACCGAGCCCAATTCTCAGTGCGCTCGCTAAGGCGTACGTAAATTCCCATGTATTTTTCGACTTTGCAAAAAGAAAAACAGAACTCGGCAGTCGAAAAAGCTCTCAAAAAGGAAAATGCGGCACCCGAAAGGAAGAACTCAAAAGGGGGTTTACCTGGGGTTGGTAGGATACAAGCAAAAGAAAGGGTACGAAAGATGGCACGGGGTCGGGAAGTGGTTCGTCACAGGCCGGGCCTCGAGTTGAGAAACGAACCGACACCCGCACTTCCTCTGTCTCCCACCGCCCTTGAATGGTCCGTTCTTCTTTGAACTTCAGAGAATCCAACTTGCATCCCTCTTTAACCTCCCTTTCCCACACTTCCACCTGACCATTGCTCGATTGTTTATAGTATTCCTCGTTGTTCCCCATAACCTGCTATGATCTCCATCCTCTTGACTTCCACATACCAAAGTCTACCTACATTCGTGCGCAAAGTCTTTGTGGTCTTCCAGTCCGATTGCTGCTCCTCCCAGAGATCTTCGATCCGTAGTACACCCCTTTCCACCCACGCTCTACCAAAACTTCCCTGACCCACTATCTGAAAGGGCGTCCCATCCGACTTCGTAATCCATTGATTTTCAAATAACGGTTGTCGCAACACTTCATCCTTGGTACGGGGTTCCCTTAGCAGACTTGGAGCGAGTGCTTTCCATGCCAATAGGACACCGTTCCAAAAAGCGGACTTGACCCTACGTCGTTGATAGGGGTCCATTGTCAACAAAAGCCATACGTCCTCCCCTCTGCTGAGGTTCCATTCCTTTGCGAAAATGTACTCAGCAAGGGCCACCCAGCTGCGACCTTCTGTGTCTATAGCTGCCTTCACTAGCCATTTACACAGTAAGGTTGCATTCTGGCGCTCCGGGTCCAAAAGGCCCAGTCCGCCTTCCTCCTTCATAGCCGATACCTTATCCCATGCCAACTTTGACATAAAACCTTGTTGTTCCTCTGCGTCGGGCTTCCAAATGAATCTGGCTGCTGATCTTCTGATGCCTTTTGCTGTTCCTTTATTCAGTTTCCTCACCGAACCAGCGTACCACAGCTGGGAGAAGACTGCTGCGTTAAGAACCAAGACTCTCCCAAAAAGCGACAGATCGTAGATGTCCTTCCAAGTCTGAATTCTCCGTTCCACCCGTTCCACCAAGATCCTATCTTGCACATCACCACAATCATTCAACGATACTTGGACTCCGAGGAATCTTTCGGAGCAGTCAGCAAGAATCTTCTTCATTCCCAAATCCACACTAATCGAAAACTGGTTGGGTAAAAAATACACTGATTTTAGCCAATTTACCTGAGCCTCACATAGTTCGCAATATTCACCTAGTATCCTTCTTACGGTCGCCAGGGATTCTGCTGTATTCCAAGTTACTATCGTCAAGTCGTCTGCTAACGCACTGCCTTTAAACTGGATGTGACCACGCACTCTTAAACCTTCCACCTGTGGGTTCTTCCTGACGTTATTGAGCAGCACGTCCATTTGTAGGACAAACAATAGTGGCGCCAATGGGCAGCCTTGTCTCAGCGAGCGAGTCAGAGGGAATGCCGCTGAAATTTTTCCGTTAATCATAACTGAAGTTGTGGCGTGGAAGTACATTGCTTTCACCCATGTGCAGAATTGTGTGCCGATGCCCATATGCTTCAAAGTGGTTAGGACAAAAGCCCAACTCACGCGGTCGTAGGCTTTCTCCAAATCAAGGAGGAGAACCGCCATATCAAGATTTTCTTCTGCAATGATCTCCATTGCCTCCACGACACATACGATGTTTTCCAGAATAGATATGCCCTTAACGAAGGCCCCCTGATCCACTCCTACTAGATCCGGTAAATAATCCGCCAACCTGATGGCTAAAGTTTTTGCCAGCAGTTTGTAAGCCGTGTTTAGGAGAGTGAGGCGGACTTTTGGTGAAAGAGGATGACAGTTCCTGCCGAGCCGTTTGGTGCTACATTGGCCCAAACAGCAAATTTGACAAAATGTAATTTCCTTAGGAATGCTGTTTGGATCTTCTTGTGTTCCTCACTGTTGGCAAGGTGAGTTTCGTGTAGGCATGTTATGTCTTGGGGGGGTTGTCCAAACCAATCAATGGTTTCAGTCAGGTTTCTCCATTTGATTGGGTTATCTAGAATTGAGGCCAGCCCGTTGACATTCCATGACGGATTCTCAAACTAATCCGCTCTGGACTACAAGCTTTTTTTCATATGCCACACGGCGAGATTGAAGAGGCGACCATAGACGCCGCCAGGCGGCGGCCCTTCGGCCTTTTTTTTTTTTTTTTTTTTTTTTTTTTTTTTAAGGCCCATATACAAAGCCACTATCCTGGTGGTGGTAAGAGAACCTAGTCCCCTACTATCAAATATATACCTTAATGAACTCGACAACTTTAGAGAAACAACTATCCGTGAATATAACAAGGTTCGAAGAGCAGACGCTTCGCGTCTGGATCCCGCTTCGCAGATGATTTTCTAGTAGCAGATGGACAATTCTGGTTGTTTTTTCTCTCTTTTAATGTCAACTTCCGTGGTGGGTTGGAATCTTTTCGGACTGCGTCCGGCCCAAGTATAAATTGAAATAGTAATATAAATAAATTAAATATAATCAAATAGAAAAAGAGAAAAATATTCATGAAAAGAAAAATAAAGAAAATAATATGAAAATAATATGAATATTCATATTATTTTTATATACAATAAAGAAAGAATCAACCATCTGGGGAGTTTTCCATTAGAGCGTAAGATGGTTACCTCCACGGATCATCATAAACCATCTATAAAACAACAAAAGTAGAGATAGGCAAGATAGTAAAAAATGCAAGGTTGGCCACATCTGTGTGGGTCAGCGCCAAGTGCCCACACACCCGTCTGCTGCCGAAGCGGCACACTTGCACATGTACATATGTGTACATATATATTTCATAGTTCATAAAGGGATGGAGGGCAAAGGCCAGCTTACCTAAGACAGAAGACTCCTCGAGCAAGAAGGCACCGACACAACCCTCCAAAGGTCCGAAAAAACTTGGAGAGCCTTCCGCATCGGCCCACAAAACCACAAACTCAATTACACGAAGACAACAAAAGCACGACAGCACTGGCACTACTTTCATCCCAAACCACCCATTCATGTCACTACCAAAGGGATGGAACGTATAAAGACAACTTACCTAAGACAGAAGAGTCCAGCAAGAAAGCACCGACCCAACCCCCCAAAGGTCCCAAAAAACTTGGAGAGCCTTCCGTGCCGCGGCCCCAAAACGTACATTCCTCCCCTCCAAAAAATGTGTGGCCACCCATAGACATCCAAAAAGCCCATGCTCTAAAGAAGGGCAAAGAATTAGGCCGTGTATTATAAACAAAACCAACAAAACATATCCAACCACAAAAAACGAGAATAGCTCGCTAGTACGAGCCCGGTCCTAGCCGCTGTGTGTGTGTGTGTGTGTTTGTGTGTGTGTGTGTGTGTGTGTGTGTGTGTGTTTGTGTGTGTGTGTGTGTGTGTGTGTGTGTGTGTGTGTGTGTGTGTGTGTGTGATACTGACTCACCGCTTCAGTGGGCAGTGTAGGGGACTGACCACACATGGTGGCAGTTTTGGTGATTCCTGACCAATGCCGCTTTCATCGTCTTGACGCTTGTCCAACAGAATTTTTTTTCGGTGAAATGGTGCAACAAAGCAGACCTCACCAAAATGCTAGTTTGGTGAGTGGTGCAGTGAGGTCCGTACTCGCACTACGACTTTTGCTACTAAGCTCTGGATGTGATTGCAGTTAGATGCATCCAGGTTCAGCTGTAGTTGCAGCCAGATACGTTTAGGGAAGTGCAGTGAATGTATGCCTGAAGTCTGATTCCTTTATACCAAAATCAGACCTCCGCAAGCAGAATTTGGTAAGTTAGAGATGCCCTCCTAGTTGCCTGCAGCACTGACCTAACGCTCGTTCATTATGGCTGCACCTAGACTGAAAGGTGGCCGAAATTCAGCTAGACTGACCGTACATTCTATTTCCAAGGGCGACTGTAGTACTCATCAGCAAGCAGAATGGATGGAGAAGTACGCTTCCCTCCGAACTGTGCGTGCAGGGGAGGGAGAGGACGGAGGAGGAACTGGAACAGGAGAGTTTGGATGAAAGGCTAGGGAATGACAAAGGACTAGTCCAAGGGAGTAGTAGCACACAGGCCAGAGGCTTTGAAGGCTCACATCTCTAGGAGGGTGGGCCAGACACCAACATTCAACGGGTTTTGAATTTGATTAGATCTGTGAGGGACGTTGGCCACGGCTGCCGGCAGGTGCTGTTCCCCATCCAAATCCATACAGTATGGAAGTTTTTTTTTCAAGCCCTCCTCCGCCCTCTCCCTCCCCGGTAGGTGCTAATTCTTCAAGCCCAACCAATTCAATTACCTGTCAAATCCGGACAGGACGTCCTTTCAGGCCTTTTTTTTGTCATTTTAGTATTACGGAGAACCCCGTAGCAGCCACATCCGTGCTCAAGCCTTCAACGAGGGAACAAACGGGAGCTGCACCCACCAGCAGGTGTGCAGCAGGTGCCATACCCCTGCTACAGCAGGTGGGCGATACCGGCCAGGGGTCAGCCGGTAGCATCAGGACCGAGCTTCTTCAACGAGGGAACATGCGGGAGCTGCACCCACCAGCCGGTGTGCAGCAGGTGCGATACCTGCTACAGCAGCTGGGCGATACCAGCCAGGGGTCAGCCAGTAGCATCAGCACCGAGAGCTTCTTCGATGGGCCAGTCGATGTGCCTCCCCTTCAAGTTCTAACTAAAAAAAAATAAAAAAAATAAAAAATGACGAGGCTCATTCAGCGAAGCAGCCATCCATGTTCAACAAGTCACTTCTAAATGAGATCGCTTCATCTGACAGGAGCCATTATACAGGGTTGCAGCCTGCAAAATTCCAAAGGAACAGCAGTGATTCTTAACTGTGAAACTGTTTTTCTGTTTTTTTCAGACAGACCCACTGTGCTTTTTCTTTTTTCGACAGACCCACACCATCATCCGATTGCGAGGGCTACCCAGTCTATACATAACCGCTCGTTCAGACACCGAAGAGAGAACTTTGGGCCTCGCTCCACTACTCTCCAAATGTTCAAACCGAGACCAAAAAAAATCCTCCCCTATAAAATGGAAAGCTACACCGCCATGATTTTTATCTTTGGTGCATGTCGCGAGTCCTGGAGCGAGGCCCTTAGACTGTCTTTTTTTTTTTTTTTTTTTTTTTTTTTTTTTTTTTTTTTTTTGGGAAAAGCAACGACTCCATTATCATGAAAATCATGAGGCCGGGAATTCCTCACGAACAACCCGGAATGACGCCGGACTGTCTGGGACCATTACCCAGAATTGGTATAAGGGTTTTACCCCAACAGCATTTGGCCACGCCAACAACAAAGTTCTCTCAAACAAAGAGTACTAACCCCCCAATCCAGTACCTTTCTCGGCCTTTTGGCTAAGGTCAAGTGTAGTATCTGTTCTGATCAGTCTAATATCTGATCCATGGTCCATCGGACCCCAAAAAACAAAAAAACAAAAAAAAAAAAAATCCATCCCTAACCCAGAAGAATGCTGCGACCCCTTCCCTTCCCCAGGGGGACCCATCCCTGTCACACAGGGTGCCACCCCCGTGTACCACATAATGCTTTTGTTACGAAAAGAAAAAGAGGGGAAAAAAAAAACGTCAACGCTCCCCACGCCACATAAGAGGCCTCTCGCCACACCACTCATCAAATGTTTAAACAACAAAAGGATGCCGGGTGTATCTTTCCACAATCTGGCAGAAGAAAAATTACATTCTCCATTTTGTGCATTTGGTGAGTAGCGCAGCCGCCACAAAGATTAAAAAAAAAGACTTATGGACTCCATTTATGGTATGTGGGCAAATGAACGTGAACAGCCAACGCTGCCTCCACATTTTTCTCGAGTGATTCATTAACCTCAATACAGTTTTGTCGTTTTCCTTGTTTGTTGATTACCTCCACTGAACATAATTTAATAATTATTTTCATTTTAATTATTACCCCCCAAACCCGGCCCTATGTGGGCAAGAGAATTTGAGAAGGGCCCTCAATGCAGACAGAGTACCTACCATTCAGCAGGGCCCTCAATGCAGACGTTGCCCTCCCCCCACATTTTTCTCCTGTCGTTTCATGACTTTAATCACACATTTTCATGACCCCACCCACCAACCCTGCCCATGTGTCCGAATGCTACACACACATTTCACTGTTTGTACCCCATGCAGCTGCACGATACACACACGTAACTGTTAGTGCACAGACCACGCGTTCGAATCCTGATGGTATCGGGTAAACACAATGTGGCTTACAGAGCAATGTACCACCCAACATTTCTTCTTCTTCTTTTTTTTTTTTTTTTCCCGAAGCCCAGAAAAATAATTTAATATCGTAGTGGCCCGATGGACCACGGATCAGATATTAAACTGATCAGAACAGATACTACACTTAATCTTAGCCAAAAGGCCGTGAAAGGTATAACATTTCTTCTTCCTCTTTTCCTCAGCTCCGCAAACTAATCCCAAAAATATCCAAAATTTATTCGTGAGGCCCTCGTGGAACATCTCACAATTGCAATTTTTCGTACTTCCATTTTACAAATCCCATCATTTGGAACCAATTACACAGAAAAATGTTCACTATACGCTGAAAGTAGAACTATACACTACAAGTGAGGCAATCAAGTAAAGCAACTCCAAATCAACGGGCCCAGCTTCCCGCCCGACAGGAAAGGGGAGAGGTGCTGCTGGACTCACAGTGAGAGCAGAAGGCTTCGTACGACCCGCTCCTCTCCCCCCCCCCTCCCCCCCATGAAAGGTGCTGCCCCCATGAGGCAATCAAGTAAAGCGACTCCAAATCAACGGGCCCAGCTTCCCGCCCGACATGAAAGGGGAGAGGTGACTCACAGTGAGAGCAGAAGGCTTCGTACTTGCAGCCGACCCGCTCCTCCCTCTCCCCCTCCTCCCTCCTACCCTGATAAGGCGAAACGACTCCCATATGCTGCATCGTCATGATCATCGGACATTCTTCGCCCCCTTTACTAAAACCCTATACTGGCTACACACTCAAAAGGTAGACCAACCATATGTTCACCTCTGTGACCATAACGGTGGCTGCAGTGCTGCCACGTGTCCGCAGCACCCGCATGCCGACACGTGCTCAACCGTATGTCCACCTCTGGGACCATAACGGATGCAGTGCTGCCACGTCTCCGCAGCACCCGCACGTCAACACGTGCTCTCGGTGTGTCGCATTCCTTCCACTAAACGTTTCTTTCCTAAAATAGTAAACTGCGAGGAAAAGCATACCAAAACCCCCGGCAACACCTCAGCGGGAGCTTCACATGCAATAATCCCGACATAGATAAGATCCGTCCCGACCAAAGAGAACTAGACCGCCACGTGTCGTGATCAGCAGCGGCCACGTCGGAGTCGGGGGAAAGCTGCTGCATGGGGGAAATCACAGGAACCCGCCTACACTGCAGCCTCCACAGAAAAATACTCCAGAAATATTCTATTACCTCGTCAGACTGGCCAGTCGCAGAAAAAACGGCGACCGCTCCAGCACACTCTCATGGGAGAGGAGACCTGACACGCCAACGAGGTTTTTCACTCGTTATCCGAAAGCAGCCCCGTATCACTACACGACAAACCAAGAAAAACACTGCAAAGTGTACCCCACGAGAGAGAGGAGAAAAGAGCTTCAACCTCAGAACACCTGGAAAATGTACGCAACGAGAGAGAGGTGAAAAGAGCTCCACCTGCCGCCAACACTACGCCAAATCTGAGGAGCAACACATACTCTCACTACAGGACCTGTTCTCATCGTCGTAATCGGCTCGTCTTCCCCCGGCCTTTCCCGCCTCGGACTCAAATAATACCTGCTACCTGCTAGTGCCGCCTCAGACTCAAACTCAAATAATACCTGCTAGCACGTCCAGAAGCATCCAACGGCAATACAGGAGCACAAACTGATCCGTCTCCTTCCTCCTTTCCGTCTACTTCAGTTTGAACTAGAGACAGGATTGTCAGCTGTCTCTAGATGAATGGCAATACAGAGCACAAACTGATCCGTCTCCTTCCTTCTTTCCGTCCAGAAGCATCCAACGGCAATACAGAGCATCTAAGTTTGCTTCAGCTGACAATCACACCACCCGCCGACAATCCAGGCGCAAACTGAGATGCTTCCCGCGCCCCGCGCGAGAGACGAACCACAGTTTTGGTGCCATCCTTTCGTGATCGGAGCAACGTCACCCGCCTCTCCGGAAGAAGGAATACTTGCGCCGGAAGAATCCAAACAACAAACGATCTGCGGAAGAAACTGATCTCTGCTGGTGGCCAACGTGCCTCGTCGTCCGAACACACGCCAGCTTGCAACTTCTTATTCCCCTCGAGACAACACGACAAAACTGACCTCTCGCAGTCTCGTAAGACGGCCGATTAGGCCGGCAGCAAGCCGAAGAACAGACAATCAGACTTTCGCCGCCTCTTGACTGAGAAAATCGGTACGAGGCCCGTCTCCTCCGGAAGCGCGCTGCGAAAATCGTAGTCGTCTCTACAAGCCACTTGGACGCAACGTGGCTCATCCAGAGAGCTCCCTGCTTTCCCTCAACGCAACGGCCAACCACCTCTCTCTCTCTCTCTCTCTCTCTCTCTCTCTCTCTCTCTCTCTCTCTCTCGTTTCATTTCTTGCATACTGCATTTACCTAAACAATTGCCGAGCTTGCTTCTCTCTCTCTCTCTCTCTCTCTCTCTCTCTCTCTCTCTCTCTCTCTCTCTCTCTCTCTCTCTCTCTCTCTCTCGCTATCTATCTATCTATCTATCTCTCGTTTCATTTCTTGCATACTGCATTTACCTGGACGGAATTGCCGAGCTTGCTCCACTCCGCATGAAACAAACCGGCTCCTCTCTCTCTCTCTCTCTCTCTCTCTCTCTCTCTCTCTCTCTCTCTCTCTCTCTCTCTCTCTTCTCGTTTGATTTCTTACATATTTACCTCTGATATTTACCTATGATATTTACCTAGACGGAATTGGCGAGCTTGCTCCACTCCGTATGGAAGGACCCGGGCTCATCGACACGTTCGTAAGTGTGCGCTCCGAAGTAATCTCTCTGCGCTTGAATCAAATTAGCCGGAAGGGACCCCCGTCTGTACGTGTCAAAATACGCCAGACTGGAGGTCATCCCCGGCACGGCCAGGCCCGCTCCAACGGCCAGCTGCACCACTCGTCTCCACGAGGCTTGTCTCTCCGTCATCTCCTTGGCGAATTCCGGATCCATCAGCAGGCTAGCAAGATCTGCATTTCTGTCGTACGCTTGCTTGATCCGGTCAAGAAACACTGCTCTGATAATACACCCACCCTTCCATATCCTCGCGAGCTCTCCAAGGTTCAAGTTCCACTTCTTCTCGATGCTCTTTGCCCTAATTAGGTTCATCCCCTGGGCATAGCTGGTGATCTTCGACGCGTACAACGCCTTCCTCACGTCATCGATTAGCTGCTGCTTGTCAATCCCCGGTACCGCGCTCGGTTCCCCAAGCTCCAGCGCGCTGTACGCTTCCGCCGCCACCACCCTCTCGTCCTTCAGCGCGCTCAGGTACCTCGAGTCCAACGATGCCGCGATCGTCGGCGCTGCGACGCCCAGCTCCGCCGCCTGCTGCACCGTCCACTTCCCCGTTCCCTTCGACCCGGTCTTATCCATAACCTTATCCACTAGATAAGATTTCCCGCCAGCGTCTCTCTCGTCCTTCACCGCGAATATATCTGCGGTGATCTCTATCAAAAAACTCTCCAATTCTCCCTTATTCCACGTGGCGAACGTGTCATGCAGCTCCTCGTTACTCAGTCCACCGAGGGTTTTCAAGATGTCGTACGCTTCCGCAATGAGCTGCATATCGCCGTACTCGATGCCGTTGTGCACCATCTTCACGAAGTTGCCAGACCCTCCCTCTCCCACGTACGTCACGCACGGGCCGTCATTTACCTGCGCCGCCACCTTCTTGACTATCTCCTCGACGTGTTGGTAGGCCTCCTTGGAGCCTCCGGGCATCAACGACGGGCCGTGTCGAGCTCCTTCCTCTCCGCCAGACACTCCCATTCCCAAGTACATCAGGCCTTTCTCCGCCGCGGCTTTGGCCCGCCGCTCAGTGTTCTCATACCACTCGTTACCGCCATCAATCAAGATGTCCCCCGGTTCCAGGTGCTCGCTCAGCGCGGCTATGGTCTGATCGACGGGAGAGCCGGCCTTGACCAGGATGATGATAGCTCTCGGCCGCTTGATGGACGCAACGAAATCCTTCACATTGTGAAACCCTTTTAGGGGCAGATTACCCTCGGTCTCGGCGCGCTGCGTCGTGTCATCGACTTTGCTGGTCGTCCTGTTGTACACAGAGATAGGGAACCCTTTCTCCGCAATGTTGAGGGCAAGGTTTTGGCCCATCACGGCCAGTCCGACTAGCCCGACACGAGACAGACTCTGCTGGTTCGCCATGGTCGCTACCAAGCTGTCACTGGCCAATGCTGCGCGAACTGTGAATGGAGAGGAGGAGCCGGGGTGGCCCCTCGTCGTCGGCGAGGGGAATATCAATAGCTGATCGAGATGCTGGCGCCTCCTTCCAGGGAGAATGCGCGGGGTGAGGAAGGACTTGCCGCCGGTTGTGGAGGACAGCTTCGGCTCCGCTCCGCCGAGTACTGGTGAGAGATGGCTGCGGAGACACCGCGAGCCTGCCGCCAACGAGGACGACGAGAAGGAGAGAGACAGAGAGTGCGATGACGGACTGCAGCAAGAGAAGGGGAGCAAACCATCACTTTCAGGAAGAACCCGGCCGCGGTGGCCAGGAAGAGTGCGCACTGTTCCTCTCGATAGTGCTGGACATGCTGAAGACGACGACGATGGCAATGTAGACGCTCTCGCCGATGAAATACTGTTCCTGATCATCAAGCCATCGGCTGAGCGGCATGGTAATGGTACAGGCGGGGCAGGGACGTAAGCGATTGCCTCCATGTGGTAGAATCGGGAGACGACGGACAGACGCGTCCGACAACGGGGAGGACACAGGGGAGACGAGAGAGGAGAGGAGAGGAGGGGGCCTGCCAGCGCGCGCGCAGGACCGCTGACGGGATCGTTCACCCGCGAGGACGCGCGCCCTGGGCTGGACGGCGCCAAACTAGACGATCATCCCAGCTACCGACGGCACAGCTGGCACAGAAAAGGACGACCGTGCTACACTGTACCCCCGCTAAAACAGTAGCCTTGAGCCGTATGCAAAAAGTCCCTGGGCAAGTGCCAAGACCAGCCCAGAGGTCCGGAGGTCCGGAGGTCCGGAGGTCCGGAGAAGGGAGGCAAAAGAGAGAGAGAGAGAGAGAGAGAGAGAGAGAGAGAGACAGGGAGACAGTAGCCTGAGAGAGAGAGAGAGAGGGAGACAGTAGCCTTGAGCCGTATGCAAAAAGTCCCTGGGCAAGTGCCAAGACCAGCCCAGAGGTCCGGAGGTCCGGAGGTCCGGAGAAGGGAGGCAAAAGAGAGAGAGAGAGAGAGAGAGAGAGAGAGAGAGAGAGAGAGAGAGAAACGAACCCAACGACAAGGCCAGAACAGATCTTGTCTTGCCTGTTACGCGTCGAGCAGGGCATCGAGAGGGGTTACTACTACCGCCCTTACGTTACGCCGTTGCCCCAAGGTTGCTCCGGCTACCGGTGACTGCGACACTACCTCGTACGACCATCATCACAGTACTCAACGTCATTTCACGTCAGCTCGTGTGCTCTCACGTCATCCTACCACCCCACCCCGCCCCCACAAACGCGGCCCATTGTATCCCCACTCGTCAGTTGTCTCGTCTACATCGGTAGCCCATAGGCGATTCAGGATTTCTTCGTGAACAATCGGGAAACTCTGCCAATTTGGCTGAATGGCACCCAGATGTGACCGTCACTAAGCAGATCGTGAGTTCGAGTCCGAGCGGGAAAAGCGCAAAACGGCACTGTCCGTCGTGGTCCCACCATCCCCAATGGCCCACACACCCTGCCCGACCCCCACAATTACCACAGAATTAGGGGCTGATCCGACTACTACGTTTGAAGGGGAGAACCAAAAAGAACTGCGTTGCTCGGCCCTGTGCCGGTCGGACTGAAAAAGCGAAATTGCATCCCACTTGCCCGGTTGGGGCGGGACTTTTTCGGAGTTCGTGCCGGGTAATCGTGGGGGGGGATGCAGGCCCAGCATCGAACGGACGGAAGGAGGACAACCGGACACAACAAAAACCAAAAAAAAAAAAAAAAAAACCTCCTCCTTTTTCGATGCGGGGACGGTGCTGGCTTCTACCGACTTTAGCAACTTCTTTTTTGCCGCGGGTCGCGGAACACCTGCCACGTACACTTTTGCTTTCACTTGCTGCCGAACTCGACGGGGAGACCTACAAAATCGGAGAGTAGTCGGATCCCGTCAAAACCAGTAGACTACTCTCCGTAGCAGTAGTCGGATCAGCCCCTTAGATAGAAATCCATGTGCAGGAGATCTTAAACCAAGTGCTTTTTGAGAACCGACGGATTCAGAGATCAGAAAGGCGTTTTCTCGGCCGCAGACATAGCAGGCAATTTTGGACTCAGTTGGATAAAAAAAGGGCTGATACAGCTCAAGGACATATGGGACTTTGACCACTCTTGCATCTTGGACATTTCTCAGATTCGAAGTAGATTGCCACGGCTACATAACGTGGCCAAACACTACTTGGAGTTAACATATGCAGTTCCAAGGGCATGGACAACACTCCTTCTGCCAGATGCGGACCACGCAGCGGGCAACGTGGCTGGGGTGCCCCAACCAAGTAATGCAGGTTCTGGGGCCTGACTTAGCATCGGGTCTCAGAGTACAGAAATGGATTATACAGATAGGGTCCGAGACGTCAGGCAAACTTACGCTGGTAAATAAGGATTAAGAAATCAGTAACACGGTGGGCATGGTGGAAGTAAGAGTGCATCATCAGAACTTCAAAGGAAAGGAGAAGGCGGTATTGCTGTGGGATTCGGGCAGATGTAGAGTAGAACCGTTGTTACTGGGATGGAAGGGACAGGACAGGCAGGATAAGTTTACGCCACTGTACCAGTACCGCCTGAAAAAGGGAGTTCAAATTCAACAGGCTAGGCTGAAAAAGAAGGCGGTCGGTCTAGCTGTGGAGAGAGCAGAGAAACATCAGGTAACAGGGGTTACTGAGCAACGAATTGGTAGTCTTTCGAAGGCACTTACAATGTACCTAGTGCAGAAGCAGGCTAGTCTTATGTGGCTACAGTCCTTATTCGTAACAGCCACAACAATGTGGCTGTCGACTAGGGGGATGGGGTCGTCCACACAGTGTTTGCGTTGTAACTGGGGATGGGAAAATATGATTCACCTCTGGTTATATTGCCCATTAGTGGATGAGTTATTATTGTGGTGGAAGAAACACTGGGAGAACATAACGGGGGGTGAATTCGACGGGTCAGATTTTTGGATGCTTATGAGCCTCCTCCCTGAGGGTATGCAATACACCTCGAAATGGGGTTATGTGGCGCTCTGCTGCAGGGGAACACTGATGCAGACTATCTGGGCAGCCCGCAACGCGAGGGTTTTCAAAGGAGAGGAGGTCTCAAAGACCCAACAACAGAGGCAGATTATACTAAGCATCAGGAGGATAATCCGAGCCGATTGGCAGAAGAAAAACGTAATCTGGTTTCAACAAACCTGGGCCCGTAACAACATACTCGCCTCCCTTAACCAGGAGGGTCGATACACTATCTGCACCTGGCTCTCAGATACACACGATTGATTAGGGCCGCTTTTAGGCCCGGCGTTGTATGACCAGGGCTCTGCGTTTACGAGCCGGTGCCCTTGTAGTGGAGAGGAGGAAGTTGAGGTGGAAAGTTGTCAGGTGTTGTTAGTTATCCCTCTCCCTACCAGCCATGAATAAGTGGGAAGCAAGCGGCTCCCAACACCTTTAATGGACTCTAAGGAACAGTAAATCTAGACTGCTTTTGCAGCCCACTTTTTTTCACTTGCGCTTCAAGATTCAAGATGGGATGTGACGAACCACTTTCTGTAACACGCGATTTTCTGCGCGGTTGCAATGAGGGGTCCTAAGTTGGGAAGATTGGGCCAATTACGGGAGATCGGGATCGGTGGAGAATTGCATCAGTGTCCTCGCTTTTCCGTCCTTTTTCATCGTTTCTTTTTCGAATGGCCGGGCACGGGGTCAAGTGTGTCTTGGGATGGCCGGTTGATTGATTGGTCGGATGAATGTCAGGCGCGACGCCACGCGAGCGCGCGATTAATAAATGTTGACGTCGTTTCTTTTGGTTCGGTTTTCGATCTTTTGGGCGCGGACATCGCGCGGAAAATTGCTTCGTTCTTTTTAAATTTTCTCTTGAATTTTTTTTGAATTTTGTCGAGCCCCCAATGGCTCTCGGAAGTTTGAACTTTCCTTCTAGAATTCGTGTTTTTTGCTTTTTCGCATTAGATAGGAATTAAGGAATTTAGTAATTAGGATTTCTTTCCTGCCGCGCGGCGCCTTTTGTTTACGCGCTTCTCGTGCGGCTGCAACAGTACTCTGATTAGTAGGCGCCCTTAATCGCATGTGTAACTGTAATTTTGGGCAGGCGCCATTGTAACTGTATCTTTCTTCTTGCACTTCGTCTTTCCCGCCCTCCCTCTCTTTCCTTTGCTGAAATTTTGAAAGTCGCGGATTGCATGCTCGGATCGATGCGTGGAGAAGGGTTACGTCCCCCACGCCGCGGCCGATCATGCAGAACGTAGGCGCTCCCTCTCTAATCCTCACTCTAAGTCCTAGTAATTCCGTGTTCCTAGCGCATGCATGCACGCTATAAATTTCGGCTGCGCGATTAGTCAGCTCTCTTAACCCGTTGTTGGAAGCTCGGGGTTGCGCGATCAGGAAGGGTCGGCACACGAGCGAAGTTAGAGGTGAGTAGAGTTGGAGTTGGGCGACCCGACAGGCTGGTGCCAAACACGTGGGATTGACGTGGGCCATGACGGACTGTGGGCACGGGCGAATCCGACGGGTGCGGGAGGACTAAGCGGGGTGACAACTTCGTGGGTTGGTGCGTGACGACGGACTGTCCGCATCNACGGACTGTGGGCACGGGCGAATCCGACGGGTGCGGGAGGACTAAGCGGGGTGACAACTTCGTGGGTTGGTGCGTGACGACGGACTGTCCGCATCGGAGAGGGAGRGAGAGAGGAGAAGAGAGTTGAGGTTGATGGACGTGGATTTRCTGTTTCTTTRTCTCTTCTCCCTCTTCATCTGTGTACATACATTTTGATTGCGGCTCCGGGCGGTTTRCCYGTTCTTATCTTCGTTTYGGCTTCYTGGAATCTGGACTTGGGTTTTMGCTCACACCTGTCCTTGCGATTGCATTATRTGTATGATTRTCGAATGTATGGATGCATGAATGTTATGCCTGCTTGCMTATCTCTTTTGCGGAGAATCCYTGCCCTTGCTTCTTGTTTGTRYCRAATCTTTGCTTGCACCGGWTGCRGCGATASATGGGATAAGAATCTRGCCCCGATGTCGATTTCGTTCTCGTTTTTGCYTGTCCYATGATGAGGTTGTGGTATGATTGCATCTTGCATAACCGAGACTTAYGAAGCAATTAGGCGATCCGAAGTCCGRCCCCGYGAGCGCYGCACGAGAACACGTGTAAACGCGATCCGAGTCGCRCCCTTACACGCATTCCCGTGCGTCGACTCGCTCACCCCGAAAGGAGTCACGGCGGAACCATCATCCYGTACGAGCACGCTGAGGTGCCACYGAGTCGGCCTGTCCTACAYGTGCTCGTGCGCGGTGAYGATATCCCGACCCGCGCTATCCCATCGGCAATGATACCATGACGCGATCTTGGGGTTCAGACTCGTCCTATGACCCGGAYTATTTCACCCYTATAATAARCGAGCTCATAAGGACCCGATACCCTTGTCACACGGRGAATCGGCTATGTCCGMGGGAATTCCAYTGTGCCACCACTAGTGACCCTCGGTGCTCCGATTTCCCTTCCCCCRACCACACCTACTACTTCACCCACCCGAGATTCGTTGAGAYCACCACCAGTTTCCCTCCTTTCYGCCTCYTTCTCCCRTACCATCAACTCAGTGTCGTTCCGYGGCCGGCCATAGCCCCCTATTGGCCCAACACGTTTTGCGTAAACTGCCGACGCAGCGGCGCGCAAAGAACCCCGGAAGTCCGAAGGCCCAACCCAGCTACGTGGCGGCCCCCGACGGCCTAATTTTCCCGTAACCCGTCGCCCGCAGTGTCCCGGCCCCTTCGGATTGTGAAGACCCTTGCGCGCGTACCCCTCGTTCACCTAATTGCGTTCATACCCCTACGACTCCCCCACTTCCCCAAAAATCCTTGGCACACCCCTTTTCGCACTTCCAGGCCCACACTCCACTCCGATCAGGAAGTCGCGCTGGGCGTGAGGTTGGTATCGGAGCCCGACACGTGGCTGGGGTCTTCGGATTGATAGCACGTTAATTAGGCGACTTGGCTAACCGTGAGCGACCTCACCCTCGGAACGCGCATAGACGCGACCCTATCGTCACCAGAAGCAGATCGGCTAACCGACGAGCAGCCAATGTGCAAAATCCGGTTCCGCAACAGAATGCTAATCTACCTAATCAACCTGCCCCACGTGCACGAGCTCCCATGACGCCACCTGATCTCTATTTGTTCGATCTCGCCCACCATCTCGCAGGAGCATGGCTGGCCACACTTAGAGCCCAACAGTATACCGACAATGAAGCACAGATCAACATTCCGGCTCGAATGGGTGGAGACGCCCATCATTGGTTTAGTACCTATGTATGGGTGGATCTCCCGACCTTCGAACGGGACTTTATGAACCGATTCGATTATGTCCACCCTGAGCCACCGCTGTATATGATCAAGGATCGAGTGCAAAAACTGCTCGAATCCGTTGGGGAATATCGAAACCGGTTCTACAGAATGTTCGTAAAAACTGAGCGAAGTGAGCAAGTCGAAAGAGATTTGTTCATTGACGGACTCTGCAGTCGAACGATAAGGGCAAAGTTGCGAAAGCAATTTTCCCCCATCACTCATACGCTACAACAAATTATGGCTGCTGCGGAAGAAATGGAATGGAAGTTCGCGGCGAACTTCCTGGAAGGAGAAGATTACCCTAGAGACGGAGATTCGACCGAGCTCGCTCAAGCCAGAGCAGAGCTGGCTGCTTTACAGAACAAATTTGAAAATATGGGGTTCGTATCAGGACTTGTCACCTATATGGAACATATAGGCCCCAAACGAGTAATCCTAAGTGAGACTCCGAGCATCTCTGCTCCTATGTTGCCCCCGCCCGTCAGGACATTACCCCCGCCACTGGTTGAGGCGCCTGTACGATCAAACGAATCGGCGACCATTTTCGAACTAACCAAAACCTTGATTAGCTTGATCCAGGAAAGCAAAAAGGAGCAGCGAGAGCACAATGCTCGGTTGGAAGCCATGATGAGGAACATGCGACCCATTGCGGTATGTGCCCCTCCGATGCAGCAAGGATTAGCCCCGGCCCCTGCGCTCGGAGGAGTCGCAAATAATCTGAATGTCTGTTACGCCTGTCATCAACCAGGCCATCTAGCCCGTGATTGCCCCCACCGACCCCTGCAACAGCGAATCGGGGTCGCACCTATGGCTGCGACCCCCATCGCCAACGGACCTGGACGAGTCGGAGCCCTGATGGAAGAAGTAGAAAGTGGGGGAAGTGCCCTGGCCACCACGGAAGAGGCCGCCGAACTGATCCCGCTAGATCAATATGTGTCGCTGGGATATCCTGGGCTTGGAATGATCGGAACAATCAGACCAGCACCAGAACCAAAAGAGGTGGCGGAGTGGCGACCGTCCCTAGGAGAAATGGAGTCGGGAGGACCCACCTTCGTCACAGGGGAGATTGATGTATTAAACATCATCCGAGCTTTGGACCATCAGATTCCCCTTCCGATTGGTCATCTGCTCTCGATCTTCGAGCAAGCCAACGAGCGAATGTTACAGCATTGCAAAGCGAACCAAAAGTGATTCGCCCTTGCCCGAACCCCGAACACAAAAGCCAAAAGCCCCGCGCCCGAAGAAAACCCCGCAAGTAGTTCGGATCCGATACGGGTAGGTTTAATCCAGAAAGATGATCATTTCCTGCGGATTAAACCAATTCCGTGGAAATCCGCCGAGTGTGATATAGAAATTTGCGGAATTTCTTACAATGCTATTATAGATTCGGGAGCGGCTGTGTTGGCTATCTCACTAAGGGTGGTCGAAAGGGCAGGTAGGAAAAACGACTTGATCACGCTTTTTGAGAAAGATCAGCTCGTTTCAGCTGACGAAGAAAGAATTAAAACCGTGGGAAGAATGACCAATGTCGCTTTCCGATTGGGTAAGGTGCATGCTCTTGGGGATGTCGTAGTACTAGATGTCAATATGTATGACGTTCTCTTCGGACTTCCCGCTCTTGTGGCGTTACGAGCAAACCTGGATTTCGAACAACGATCGATCGTCCTCCGAAATACAGGAGGAAAGCCTTACGCTGTGCCAATGCGATTGACCCTTCACACTACCATTAACGCGATTCCCCGGGTTTCGCCGATGATGGCAGGGACTCTCCGCATGATCTCCTGGGAGAAATCCGTAGAAGAAGAGTCGTCAACAGATGATGCGGAAAGCAGTGACGAGGATGATCTGGAGATCTTGAAATTAGCACGACAACGCGTTTGTTACCCGCCACCCTAAACGATAGCGAGAACGATGCAATTAACCAACCGAAAAATTCAAAGGACCAAGGCGATGATCTTGGGTGGGCCCCTCGTGCAGATTTCAAGGATGGTTGATTCTTTGGATCCCCCTCAAACTCTGTACGAAGGAATCACCCCTCTCCTCGCCCGGTACAGCGACAAGAAGCATTACTCTGACATTACGGATCTACCCAAGTCCTTACTAACCTCGACCAAAGAAGTGAGATTGTTACGCTTGGGAGCGGAAGCAAGCTCTTTGGAACCCCCTAGGCGTTTTGAAGCAGAAACAGGCGGACTGGGGATAAAGATCGCAACCCCCATGGCAGGATGTTTGTGACGGGATTACCCCGGAAGGACACGTGGCAATCCGAGAAGAAGATGCTCAGATGATGGTCACGGTGTTCTCCTGGCGATCAGATCATTCATTCATCACGGCGCCTCCACTCGATTTGGCAAAACAGGCGAACATGAAACAGATTGACGTTCGAATCTGGGACCAACTTTTTGAACTACACGTCCCACAATATGTGTCGGATGAAATCCACCGAGTAATTGCGGATATTCTTACAGAATATCAAGGAGCGATTAGTGTGTCAGACACTGACATTGGGCTGTCATTAGTAATCCAATACGAAATTTTGACAGAAAATCATTCCCCGATTCATTGCAAACCTTATCGTTATTCCTTGATTGAACGCAAAAAGGCTCTCGAACGAATTCGGGAGCTCGAAGCCAGCGGTTGGATTGAACCCGCTACTGGACCCTGATCCTTTCCTGTAGTGTTAGTACCGAAGAAGAACGGAGCGATTCGCATTTGCATTGATTATCGCAAGCTGAATGAAATCACGATCAAAGATGTGTATCCCCTCCCCCGGATTGATGATCTGTTGGATGCGATCGGATGCGCTAAATATTTCAGTAAGTTTGATATTCGGCATTTTCCATCATAATCTGGTAAGGGAAGAAGATCGGCCGAAGACAGCCTTTGTGTTGTTCGAAGGCTCGTGGCAGTGGATTCGGTGTCCGATGGGGATTTGCAATGCGCCTGCCACGTTTCAGCGAGCGATGAACATGATGTTCCAGAACTTCGTCAGCAAGACACGGCTGACGCAAGGAATGATTAACTTTTGTGTGATCGTGTACATGGACGACATCCTGGTCTATTCGGAAACCTATCACGGGCACGCGCAACACATCGAATGGACATTGGGTGCATTGAGAGACGCTGTGTTCAAGATTGTGCTTGAGAAAAGTGAATTCTTCCTCTCGGAAATTTTGTTCTTGGGCTATGTCGTGACACGTGGAGGATTGCGGCCAGACTCGAGAAAAGTTTCGGCAGTGAAGGAAGCTCCGGTTCCCACGTCACTAACGCAGGTTCAAGCCTTCTTGGGATTGGCGTCGTACTACCGGCGCTTCATCAAGGGCTTTGTCGCGATTGCACGACCACTAACGAATCTGTTACGGAAGGACCAGCCTCTCAACTGGGACGCGGAGTGCCAGCAAGCCTTTGCAACCCTCAAGGACACTCTGGCGACGGCCCCTATTTTGATTTGACCGGACCCCTCGAAGCAGTTCATTCTCATCACGGACTAGCAACCAGAAGCTATTTCCGCTATTCTAGCGCAGAAGGGGAACGATGGTCGCGAACACGCCATCGAGTACGCGTCACGAACCGTGCCGGACGAACGAAAGGACGACTCAGCACCTCAAGGCGAATGCTATGCAGTGGTCTGGGGAATCCAGCACTTCCATCCGTATCTCTACGGACAGAAGTTTCGCCTCGTGACGGATCACAAGCCTCTGCTAGCTTTGAAGAAGCTCACCAGCTACACGGGCATGATTGGCCGTTGGGCGGTGCGACTGCAAGAATACGACTTCGATATCGTCCATCGAAAGACGGAGCGACACGGCAACGCGGACGGGCTGACACGCCTGCATCGACCTGCCAAGGTACCAAAGGGTGAGGAAATTACACCGTGGAAGGACCTGACCAACGAGCCTAAATACGGACAATTGGCAGTCCTCCCGCGTGGCAAGAAGCAAAACGGTGGCGATGGGTGACAGAGGTAACCCCACTACCCCTCTCTCCCCCCCTTCCTCTTCGTCTCTCCTCTCCCTGCCTGACAAATTTTGCTATTTTTGCGAAGTCATCTCCCGCGTATATTCGGTCTCCACGTGTCTTAACGGGGAAGGGTATGTCGCTTGGATAGATTGTCGACAGTGCGTCGCACGAGCCCATGGCTCGTGCAGCCAATACAAAAACGATAGTAAACTGTGGTTGTGCCCCTTGTGCCGGACCAACAAGATTCCGACCGAGGCTCGCTTTTTGGACGCCACGTCAGAAGGGCTGGAAAAGACCCGGAAGTTTAGAAGGGCCGAAGTATGGACTGATATTGCCTTAATTGCCACCTTGGTTGGCAACCCCCTCCAGGATTTCACTAAGGAAGATCGGAGGAGGGCCAACGAAAGGGCTCGGGATTACAGGTGGATAGAGGGGAGATTAGAAAAACGAAAAACGGACGGCAGTGGGATTTGGATGGTAGTACCGCATTCGTTCATGCGGTATGACTGGGTTAAGACAGCCCACGAGGAAACTGCAGCTCATTTTGCTGTATGAATCACGGAGTCCGCTATCGACAAAAATGAGTGGTACTGGTCCAATATCCGCGACGATGTGAAGTACATCGTCGCCAACTGCCAAGTTTGCGCCGCCGATAAAGCGCCGATTCAGCCACCAAGGTCGATAGTGCCCACGGTTGTTGAATGGCCATTTCAAAGAGTAAGCATGGATACTACCGACATAATAGTGCCCCCTGGCCCTAATAGTTGCAAATATTCAGTCCTGTTGGTATTTGTTGACCATTTCTCGAAATGGATCGAGGCGTATCCTTGTCGCATGCGACAAGCCATGGAGATCGCGCGATATGTCAACTGTTTCCTCGGGATGCATCAGGATACCGAAGAGATCCTGACCGACAATGGGGCTGAATTAAGGGGAGAGGTATTAAGGAATCTTGTCCTACATGGCGTCGCCATACAGAACACTGCACCCCACATGTCACAATCTAACGGACTGGTCGAAAACGCTAACCGGGTGATAAAGACAGCGTTGCGACAGAACATCGCGACAAGGGATCCGAGACCCTGGCCCGATATCGTCGATCACATCTTGGCGGTCCATCGCGGAACGCCCCACGAATCAACGGGGTTGAGCCCCTTCCAATTAAGGACCAATAGTGTCGCTTGCGTTTCGATACCGAGCCTCCCGGATGAGACTACATTGAACCGACGGCCCACCAGGGCCACGGCTCGGGACAAGGCCAAACATCACCTAGATTTAATGGAACGGTCGCTGCCCAGGCTAGCCCGTAAACGATAGAAAATGACCGAACTAGCCCAGGGCCGACAGGTCCGGAGTTACGAGGCCCGACATGGGAATGCGGGTCCGCGGCCCCAGTACAAATTGGGGGACGTGGTGCAGGTGAGGAAATGTGCTCGCCAGGGTAAGCTAGCGCCATGATTCTTCGGGCGATATCGCGTGATCGAGCTCGGCCCCAATGGCGTGGACACCGTGCGTCTTGCCCCTGAAGTCTCCGGCAGTCGGTCGGCTCGTCCGATCACACGCAACGTGTCCTATCTTCGCCTCCTCCCCTCTGCTCCGTCTCCCTCTCCCTCGATCTCTCTTTCCGAGGAAGCGGACGACGACGACTCGGACTCTCCGCCATCTCCCTCCCTTTCTTGCTCCCTCTCTGCCACCCCGTCACCCCCTCCATCGCCATGAGTTTCGCCATCGAGCGAGCTTTCAGTGATCAGTTGCTGATGCCACGAGGAGAGATCTCAGCCATCCGCCAAGTGCATCATCCGCGCCTTGCGCAGTTCTTCTGCACTGCGGGTGTATACGGCGCGACAAAGTTCCGATTCACGAGCAATCCCCGGGTAGTGGTGCTGGCCGAGGCAACGGCGTTCCAACGGTGAGCGGCCCCGGGAATCAGCCACGTGTCTACCATGGTCGTCTTCAGCGGCGATATCACCGCCCTCGATCCGACGAGGCAAGCCACCATCAAAAGCACCTTGTACCGGTGGGGTCGCGATCTGGCCACTGATTGGGATCGACGACTCACAAGGCACGGTGACGAGTGCTATCCTGTCGATGACATCGAAGTCAACACGCTGCGCACGACGCTACGCGAGCCACCTGTCGTCCTCCCCGAACTTGCTCCCTTCCAGCCGCGCAGATGAGCAGCGCGCCGATCTCGACATTCTCTTCTCCCTCTCTCTTCCCCATCTTCTGGCAGTCCTCTCACTACCTTTGTATCTCCTTCCGTCTGAAGCCACTGACAGTACGCATCGTTGATCCGGACCGTTGGTGGCTATGGTGTGCAGAATTTGTCGAGCTCTCGTTTTGCCTGCTACGAGTGGATCTGAACTGGACGTGGGAAGGCGATCAGAGGCCCGCGTCGGAGATTGTGGAGTTGCTCGTCATTCACGCGTGGAGGACCAACGTGGCGGGAGATCTTCTGGGATTTGTCTTTGGAGCAGTGGATCGGGGAAACCGATCACAGATCGTGCGCGAACTTACGATTGTGATCGCGCGATTAGCCGGCAAACTCCCTCTCGACATCGTCTCTCAGAGCGACGAAGAACCCGTGTCACATACCCTCGCAAGGACTCTCGCCCCGAGCCTCCAGTGGTCGGCTTGTATCGAGGAGCGTTGGGCGGACGACCGTTTTCCCTCCCGTAGCGAGTACCTGGACGTCCACAGCCTGACTAATCCCCGCTTCTTTTGGCAACCAACGGCGTTCAAGTGGGCGGCGCTGAGAGCAGAAGAGGAGGCCGAAGAGGAATCGGACGGAGAATTGAGGAGAGAGGCCGGGAAAGCAGCGGCCCGATTGGCCGAGGACGAGGAAGAAGAGCGCGAAGCAGAAGAAGAGTCGGCGGAAGCTGAAGAAGAAGAAGAAGAAGAAGAAACAGAGGAGGAGACTTCGAAGAAAGAGGAAGAGGCCTATAGCGAGTACAACGAGGGCGAGCAAAGTGAGGAGGACGACGAAGATGACGAAGAAGTGGAAAGCATGGACGACCAGGAGCCAACGCACGACGAGCTCGAGTGGGTGCCAGGACCGGATCGGCGATTGGAGAACCCGGAGGCTGCTGCGCAGCGCAAGAAAGAGATCGCGGAAGGAAAGCGGCTGGCGATCGATCCCGCACCGAACGATCCTTTCAAGGATCCCGAGCCGCCCAAGCCGGAATATGGAGACCTTGCTGCCACGACCTCGGGAACTGCGACGACAAGGCGCCGATCCCGATCCCGAACCACGTCCCCCTCCGCCTCGGCCCGTCCCCCAGTTCGTCAACGTGTCAATGAGGGGCTTAGCCCTTCGTCCCCGAACCATATACCACCATCCCCTTAGCTATCTCTCTTTCAATCAGTATTTCCATCGCGTCATCTACCCCCGTAATCCCTTCCCCATCGCTACCTTCCGACATTTCTACTCCGCCCGCCTAGAACTGATTGTCCACCCCCACCCTTCCGTTCGGTGTGCTGTCCCCGACTACTCCCTCCACGTTCTGCTCCTTAGCGCCGCGTGGCGAGGCCGTAACCATATAGAGGTTTACTGCATCGTTACGGGGACCTTCCCCGCGTGCGAGAACCATGATCGGTTCCGCACAAACGTCCTCCAAACCCTCGTATCCCTTTACCCAGACTACCTCGCTTCCCTGCCCCGCAGCGGCCAGAGATTCCCCCGCTTCCATCGCATTGTCCGTTTTCAAGAACTTCCCTACGACCTCACTGCAATCGGGCGCTTCATACCCGAGCTTATGATGGAGCCGCCGCTCCCTCCCTCATACGCGTATCGCCTTCCCTTCCCCCTTCCGGTTAGTTACTGATGCAACGATAATGGACGCGTGTCGCGGCGATGGCACGAGAAAGATCCCGTCCTTGGATCGTCGAAGAGCCCAATCTGAAGAACCAGTAGAAAAGCAGAGTTGCCACGATGGATGACGTCCACACGCAATCGAACGGTAAGTGGCATACAGAGAATTGCTCCGTGTGTCGATCAATTAGAGAAATCGACACGTGCCAACAAGCAAGCAGGAACTTGCTAATATTGGAACCCCCTGGGCGTCACATATGTGACGAACCACTTTCTGTAACGCGCGATTTTCTGCGCGGTTGCAATGAGGGGTCCTAAGCTGGAAAGATTGGGCCAATTATGGGAGATCGGGATCGGTGGAGAATTGCATCAGTGTCCTCGCTTTTCCGTCCTTTTTCGTCATTTCTTTTTCGAATGGCCGGGCACGGGGTCAGGTGTGTCTTGGGACGACCGGTTGATTGATTGGTCGGATGGATGTCAGGCGCGACGCCACGCGAGCACACGATTAATAAATGTTGACGTCGTTTCTTTTGGTTCGGTTTTCAATCTTTTGGGCGCGGACATCGCGCGGGAAATTGCTTCGTTCTTTTTAAATTTCCTCCTGAATCTTTTTCAAATTTTGTCGAGCCCCCAATGGCTCTCGGAATTTCGGACTTTCCTTCTAGAATTCGTGCTTTCTGCTTTTTCGCATTAGATAGGAATTTAGTAATTAGGATTTTTTTTCCTGCCGCGTGGCGCCTTTTGTTTATGTGCTTCTCGTGCGGCTGCAACGGTACTCTGATTAGTAGGTGCCCTTAATCGCGTGTGTAACTGTAATTTTGGGCGGGCGCCATTGTAACTGTATCTTTCTTCTTGCACTTCGTCTTTCCCGCCCTCCCTCTCTTTTCTTTGCTGAAATTTTGAAAGCTGCGGCTTGCATGCTCGGATCGATGCGTGGAGAAGGGTTACGTCCCCCACGTCGCGGCCGATCATGCAGAACGTAGGCGCTCCCTCTCTAATCCTCACTCTAAGTCCTAGTAATTCCGTGTTCCTCGCACATGCATGCACGCTATAAATTTCGGCTGCGCGATTAGTCAGCTCTCTTAACCCGTTGTTGGAAGCTCGGGGTTGCGCGATCAGGAAGGGTCAGCACACAAGCGAAGTAAGAGGTGAGTAGAGTTGGAGTTGGGCGACCCGACGGGCTGGTGCCAAACGCGTGGGATTGACGTGGGCCACAACGGACTGTGGGCACGGGCGAATCCGACGGGTGCGGGAGGACTAAGCGGGGTGACAACTTCGTGGGTTGGTGCGTGACGACGGACTGTCCGCATC